GCTAAGAACGAATCAACACGGGTTTGATTCCAATATGTCGTTAAATGACTGACGGTTCCACACTTTCACAGAACTCGGATGAAGTTCGGACAAATGAGCGCTCAGCTCTTTCTGCTGGTACAGTGCATTCGTATATTTAAGCGTTCCCTTTACATTCTTGGCACCAAGCAGGTAGTCTGTCGAAACATGGAAAATCATATTAACTAAGTTAGCAGTGGTAGAACTGATTCTTAAGTGTAACGATCCGCTGTGCTACAAGCCTGCTGATTTGACAGATAACCTCAAGCAGATACACGGTGCTGCAAAGCTGCAACCCGAAATGGCATCCGAATGTCACAAGAGCCGCATATACCCCCGGAAGAACAACACAAGCCTGTTAGATCACCATCGAAGCTGCTGCTGTGCTCCCAGTTAGCCTAACACAATCATGCCTTCCTCACCTTAAAGGCTCTCAGCTGGCCTGGATCTGATTTTTTGACCATTTGTACTAATGTAGGTTGCTGAAGCCACGCTTAAGCGTTCCGTTTGCCAAGTATTGCGAGGCACGGTTATTCTTTCAAAGTGCTTTCTCTAACGTTCAGCTTCAACTCATTCAAGCTGAACAAGCTCTCAATCTTTTCGACCTCTGCGACTTAAATACAGAATTTTTATCGGTTCCATGCATCGACAATCACCATACTATTGTCTTGTCAGCGTATTTTTAACACAGAGGGGGGAGGATGAATGTGCACTCCTTTTCATAGAAGGAAATTGGCCGAAGCGAAAGAACCGATCCCTGAGGGAAGCTGAAATTGTGTTTGCATCACTGATGGATTCAAAATCATTCAGCCGCAATGCATTCAATCTGTTCAGTGTGCTGGAACCACCTTAATTGTACGAGTTGCAGAGGAAATGCGCAAAAATGGCCTTCAGCCGGTCGCATGTCGCCTTATTAAACATTCAAGGGAAGTCCAGGAAGGCACATCTGAATGACGGTCCCATTTTCTGAGCCCAGCTGTTTAGCTATGTAATGCAATAATACAGTCTATGGTACTTTTTCTTTAAAATCGGAACTGATGCATATCGAAGCACGTCTTTCATAGTTTGGCTATGCATAGCGGCAGCATTTTGTAACAAAGTATGAGATATTTACCGAAAATTGGTGAGTTTTGGTGATCTCGCTTTCTGTGGTACCGGCACGCAAAAGAAACCATTTAGTGCAAAAATATTCCGTTGAATATTAAATATTCCGCTGAAAGCTTAAGTAGACAACGGGAACTGTCATCGTAAATTCCTGCTGCCTACCAATGAAACCTTCTAATTTTACCTGCAGTGAAGAAGAAATTGATGTCCACATATTGGAGAACGAACTGGTAATGAGTATTGGCGCTCAGCGTAGAAGAGTCATTATTCAAGCTGAAGAAGACTAGGAGAGTGGATCGAATTTTCCGGAGTAAATTACGGAGGAACTGAATGACAGTAAAACACCATGCCCTATTTCATCAAATGCTGACCTCCAAACGCTTCAGTGAAAAATGGAAACAAAGAGCAATTGTCCCTATATTTAAAGGGGATTGGGTCACCAAGTGTTCCCCTTATCATCCACCACACTACTATCAACTACTGGCAAACTTTTCTCGTGTATTATCCAGCATAGGATGAGGCGGGCTGTTGGTGGGATGCTTCGCCGAAGAAAAATAGGCTTTCAGGTGTGCTACTCTTGTCCCTACCAAATTTTCATTCTGCGTAGATCACAGCAATTTCGATTC